TGAGTTTACCTGGAGTCCCAGGTGCTGCCCTGCAGGGGCGCCAGGGCTCACAGCCTGCAGTGGAAGCTTTGGGCGAGGGGGGTCCTCCAGTGGCCCCCAGAGCAGGGTGGGTCCTTCCCACCCTCTCACTGCCACTGAAGACGAGCCCATGACCCTGGGGCAGCTGGCTCCACAGCTGTCCCCATCAGCCTTCCAGATATCACAGGTGTGTCCCACCCGGCACCCTTGCGGCCCTCCATCCCTAGAGGACTTGGAGGTCAGGGGAGATCTTACTACTTGGGGGACAGTCCCTGCAGCTATGGCTCTCCACGAAGCATGCAGCAGGGGTACCAGACCCACCTGTGTTGGATCATGAAATGCCATTTCCCTCTCCCCCACTGCCCCCCCACCCCACCCAAGCGCCCTCTCCGGGAGGGGGTGGTGCACCGTCCTGGGCTGTGGCTGCTGTGGATTGAGGAGGACAGCACATGGGCCAGCTGACCCCTCAGAACAAAGCACCTGGCTGCGGGTAGACAGCTTTGGGGGAGCTTAGAGTGAGGGGGCATGACCCGGCCAGCAGCACGTGAGCAGCCGGGCTGGAGACGGGCTGTGGGCGAGGCCGTCTAAGAAGTCCCAAGGTGCTAAGTCCTGCTGAGCCCGAGCTCTTGGCGCTAAGTCTCCGTTCCTGTCCTTGCCAGGCTGGGACCTGTTTGATGTGCCCCCACGCGAAAGCAGCAGCCGGTGGCTTCGTGCCGGCTGGGCAGGCGGTGGCCACCTCCACAGGCTGGACTCTGAGCGGCTCTTCCCCTCTGCAAGTCCAGGTGACGCCCTCCTAGCCTCCGGCCACACAGCTTCCATGGTCACTCATCTGGACAGATCAAAGGGCCCGGTCACCTCCCCACCATGGCCAGTTCCAACGGCCTGTGGAGAGGGGCCAGGCAAAAGGAGCTGGAGAGGAGGGGTGCCCGTTGTCGCCTGTCTGCGTCTGAATCTGTCCAGGAGCGGGCTCCTTTTAAGGAACCAAGTTGTCCTTCAGACGGCAGTAGGTGACGATGAGCCCCAGTGGGCAGACGGCTGAGCTCTCCGAAAGGTGAGCAGCTTGGACCTGCCCAGTGACATCACACTTGGTAAAGCGGACGGGCAGAGACAAGAGGAAGCCCCTCGACGAGGTGGACGGGCACAGCGGCTGCGTCCATGGGCTCCGAGATCACCGGCAGGAGGATGGCGCGGGGCCGGGCATGGTTCGGTGCTGTTGTAAAACAGGGTCGCTATGGGTGGGGACCAACCTGATGGCACCTGAAGGAGAAGGTCACCCTGCCTCTGCAAGGGCTACAGCCAAGAAGGCCCCAGGGGCAGTCTGGTCTGTCTCATGGAGTCGCTAGGAGGCATCTGAGAACACCACCAAGCGTGAGCGATCACTGGTCCCTCCGTGGGAGAATCCTGGCTTTCCACTCGGGAGCCCCAGGTTCATTTCCCAGCCAACGCACCGCTCGCCTATCACCGGAGGCTTGTGTGTGGCTGTGGTGCTGAACGGGTCTCAGCAGGACTTCCAGACAACGATGAAATAGGAGGAAAGGCCTGGTGATCCCCTTCATCTGACAATCAGCCCATACCGACCAATGGTCACCACGGTCAGGTCCACACCCCACGATGGGGACAGTGTGGGGCAGGGCAGTGCTCTGTTCCCCTGTGCCTGGGGTACACAGGAGTTGGGACTTGGGGCCGTGTCCCCGGCTGGTCACCCCCACAAGAGCCATACAGAAGAATGAAAGTTAGCAATGGCACACCAGGAAGGCACACACTCCACAGACGGATCAGCCCTCAGAGACCAGAGGAAGCATTTGCCGGGGAGAGCGCTCAGAGGACAGGGAGGGACAGGAGAGAAGGGCGGAGAGACACAGGGGCAGGGAGCAAAAGTGGGAAGAGGGCTGTGACCTCGTGAGGATGGACGACAGTCAAGGTCACCAATAAAATGCCTTTGACCTGCTGGAAGGAAACTGATTTGCTGGGTAAACTCTTACCCCAATCACAATGAAGATAATGCCCCTGCTTTTCCAGCACGTTAACAGAGGTCTCGTGCAGCAGATGTGCCTGACGCAATGCTTCCTTCGAACTCTCTCTTCTTTTTTAGGTTGGGATTTACTACATATGACCTATCATTCCAGATCCCAATCACGTCAGGGAGAATTGTACAATGACCACCACAAAGTTTGCAAGCATCCTTTTTCTCCATGGACCCCTTGGCATCGTGTGATCTCTTGACTGTGGATTCACACAAGACGAAATCCTTGACAGCTTCACTAATTCCTCCGTTCCTTCCGGTCCACTGGTGAGGACCTTGGTCCTTCTTTACACTGGGTCATCACCCATCCAGAATGTCCAAAGTACGGGGCACAAAGTCCCGCCATGCTTACTTCCAAGGAGCATTCTGTCTGTCTGTACTTCTTCAAACCGGGGTGTGTGTGTGTGTGTGTGTGTGTGTGTGTGTGTGTGTGTGTGTTCTTCCAGCCACCGGCCACCGTATACTCAATATTCTCAGCCAGCAGCCCAGTCTGGGGTCAGAATAATTGATGAGTCAGAACTAGCTGCTTCACTTGGTCTCACTCAGCTTTCTCAGCCTAGAGCAAGGGAGCCACCTTTCTCTCAAGGGCCAGGTCGTCAACACCCGACGGCGCGAGCAGGGATGTGGAATGCGCGTGAGAGGCACTGCTCCAAAAGACATGTTTGTGGAGCCTGAGAGGCGCGCGATCGTTCCCACGCATCACAAAAATGGAAGAGTGTAACAACGGCTCTCAGCTCAGCTCACAAACAGACGGAGGGTGGAAGGTGCTGGCAAGGGGAGAGGGAGCCACACCCTTTGTCCCACTCCAATGGCATCGCAAGGGAAAGTCCCAGGAAGGCTGGCGTGCAAGGCCTGCCCTCAGGGAGAAGCTAAATGCTGCGCAGCAAAGAGCCCCTTCTGGAAACTGGCGCCCAGCGTCGGAGGCCCAGCTCTGAGCAGATCCTGTGGGGACCGACAACATAATACAGAAGAGCGAGATTGGGGAAGCAGACGGATGCGGGTTCCCATCCCAGTTCAGTCTCAAACTTGCCGAGCAGCCCTGGCCTTGCTCCTTCCTCTCATTGGTCCCTGTCATCTGGTGGACGCTGACCCTTGGTGACCCCCATCCAACAGAAGGGGATGCTGCCCAGCCCTGCACCACCTCTATGGTCATTGGTATGGTTGAACCCATTGTGGCAACCTTCCTGCTGGCATGCCCAACATGGGCCAAAGTCACACCATCCCTGCTCCTGAGGGGCACCTTGGTGGCATTTCTTCCAAGACTGATGTGTTAGTCCAGGTAGACTAGAGAAACAAATCCATAGACACTTGTGTTTATATAAGAAAGAGCTTTAGATACAAGAGCAGTTGAATATTGAGAAAACATCCCAGCCCAGTCCAGATCAAGTCCATAAGTCCAATATTAGCCATATGTCCGATGTCAACCTATAAAGTCCTCTTCAGACTCACAAAACACATGTGATGATGCTGAATGCAGGAAGTTCACAGGCCAGTGGGTGGGAGGTCTTGTGGATCTCAGCGCTGGCAGGGGTCTCCACGTGGCTTCTCCAGCTCCAGAGGTCTGACTCCATCAGCCTCTCTCCATGTGTCTTCTCCACAGGGATGTCTTTCAGGAAGTGAGCCAAGAGAGTGTGGGTCTCTCACCTCCAAGGAGGAGATACAGGCGTTCCCAGAATCCTCAGAAGAAGGCCATGCCCACACAGAGGCCTCATTGGCTATGACCCGATTGACAGGCTAGACCCCACCCCTTCTCTCTTAATCCTTTCAAGTCCCAAATTGACACCAGATGATGTAACTACCACAACTGATGTGTTCACTCTGGTGATCTGAAGCACGGTCTTCCAGGCCAGCACCGCAGCTCCGATCCACCCATTCCTCGTGCCTTTCCTTCTCATGATCCAAGTTTTCCACGCAATGGAACATACCCTGCCCTCGGTCAGGTGCACCTTGGTCATCCAAGTGGCATCTATGCTTGGTGAGCTATGAGCAAGGCCTCTGGCAGCAGGTTTGCCCACAGTGATGTGTCGTTGGATTTTCTGACGGATAGTCCGGGTAGACCAGAATGAGAATTGTCAACCGTTACATTTTTGGTGGACCACCTCATGGCGAACAAACACACACCTACACACACCTTCACCTGGTGGCTCCCAGGAGCAAACAGAGTGATTCGTGGAGAGCAGCAAGAACCCTTCCCAAAGGTGTCTGGCCTTCCCTGGAGCTGGAGAATCTCCATCCCACTCTCTAAACACCGCACATGGTGGCTGAGGGCTTGTCTTGTTGGGTTGTAGGTTGGCTGTCAGTGAGAGACAGCACAATGGTCAGTGAGCAAATTCATCTTAGCAATAAAACGGAATTGCCCAAGAGCGTGTCTCTGATTAGGGTTTTGTTTTATTTTTGCTTTGCAACCTGAGGGGTTAATGGCTTGCTTCTGAAGAAGGTGGGTGGCTAGCGTGGCCAAATGCATCCCTTGACCGACATAAGCAGGGATGAGATGAATACAGCCCTCGCCCACAGCGGGAGGAGGGCAGAGCGTGGGCCACAGCAGAGGTGTGTCCCAGGGTCAGCCCTTGTCATGCGGAGAGCTATTTTTGAGATGGGCGGATCTGTTGTCTCTAGATTCTGCATCTATATGATTACCAGGTGGTGGCTGAGCCCTGTGGCTTCCCAGGGCTCATGTGACCCCCTGGGCATATCAAGTGACCATTATCACATCCGCGGAGCCCACAGGAGTTATAAATACCCTGCCATGGAGCCCAAGCTGGAAGGCAATGGAGTAATGGCAAGAGAACAACGTCTTTCTCCCTCCTGAAGAACCTCTCCAGAACGAGCTGCCTTGAGATGGGGAGTCGGGGCAAGCCCGTCCCAGGAAAACTGAAGCTCTTCCAGAAGATGGACCAAGGGCCTCTTCTCCGAGCCGGGTCCTCGGTCCTTGAGTACCACACTGCCTTGGTGGGCGGAGACCTGGACAGCCTGAAGTCGCTCATGGACCAGTCCTTCTCGGATGCCAACGTGGTGTTCGAGATCCGTGCAGATGAGATGGAGTGGCAGGTGAAATGCCCGGCCACCTTTGGACTGTCAGGTACCCTGGCTCCTTCCGCTGCTTAGCTGTCCGCTTTGAAGAAGCTACTGACCGCTCTCAGCCCAGTACTAACACAGGCCAGGGGAACAAGACACTGGGGGTGAGGGCCAGTTGGCATGCATTCAAAGATGTAAGCTCTGGGGACAGAAGGCGAGTCATCAAACTGCAAAGGCAGATGGGGGGGGTTGAGAAGGCCCAGCCAATGTTGGGGTACCTGGTGTCTTTTAAAGAGAGTAGTGTGTTTTAGGTCACCATCATCTGGGGTCCCCACTGGCAGCTCACGGAGGCGGGGCTGGAGAGGGACATCGTTCCCTCCCTCGAGTGGGTCAGGAACAAGGTCCTGGCCTGTATGCCACCCTCCTTCCAGGAACCCAGCACGGCCAAGGCTGCAGCAGAGTGGTGGGACCCCACCAGCATGGACAGAGAAGGGGCCCTGGAACCTGGGGTCCAGAGAATGGAGTCAGAGCGGGGAAAGAGAGGGTCTCTGAGGAGTTGCTGTTTGAATATCACATGCCACCTGGACACGGTCACTCTGCACTGGGCAGACAAGCAGGTCCCGCCACGTGCACACGGGAAGGCAGTGCAGAAGAGATGCATGCCAATCCCCCCAGGGCATCTCGGTGTTACTCTGTGATGGCCACCCTGTGGCCCAGGCACCACACGTTCCCCTGGATGGTCCATGTACTGGAGGGAGTTCTGAGTGCCAAAGCAGTCCTGCCAGGCTGGGAGCGTCGGAGGGTCTGTGGTCAGGGGACACAGGGGGGTGTCCCATGTCGCTAGGCAGGCAAGGAGGAACCCAGAGGCCCCCTTCCAAAGGTCCACCCCAGTTGTGCTTACACCGGTGAGGGAGAAGGGAACAATCCCATCCTGATACCAAAGGCTTGAGTGGTTCCGAGCAGCCGTTGAGAAAGCCAGCCCACTGGGCTCTCCCATCCACTCCCAGCGCCTTCTGAGCCTCCTCCCCTTCCTGACCCCAAACGGCGGTGATGACCGCTCAGCCACAAAGCCGAGGCTGTGCTGCACGTGGCTGGTGTCGTCCCACGTCTGCAGAGTACACCTGCACCAGTGGGGCACGTGTCTTGGCACGCAGCCTTCAAACAGCACACAGTTATGCTCCGGCGGGTCTGGGCTCCATCCTACTTTGCGGCTGCGCAGTCTTGCCGAGAGCAGATGTACAGCGTGTGCTCACCCATCCAACCGCTGACAGGCACGGGGGTGGTCCCCTTCATCTGGCTCTTACCCACAGGCCGAGACGGGCATGGGTGGGCCCTCATCTCGTTTCTCTTGGACACGGACCTCCTCATGGCATCACCGAGGAGCCCTGGTGGCCCAGCGGTTGGTTACATGTTGGGCTGCTAACTGCAAGGTCAGCAGTTTGAAACCACCAGCTGCCCTGTGGGAGAGAGGGGAGGCTCTCTACTCCCATCAGGAGTGACAGTCTCGGAAACCCACAGCGGCTGCTCAACCCTGTCCCATAAAGCCTCTATGAGTCTGGCGGTGGGTTTGATTTGGGTTTGAGCGGAACCTCTACATCAGACAGGGTTCCCACTTATGGCTTTTGAAGGACACGCTGGTCAGTTTTGAGTCACTAAGAACAATGACAGGCAAGGGGGATGTTTCTCCTTTCAAGGCCCATTTGGATATTGATCACATCATTCTCCGGCCACACTGGTCAAACTTGGAAGGGACTACCCCCTCATGTGATAGGCGGAATGGCTTCTCTTGTGTGGGCATGGGATGTTAGCTGGCACGGACAGTTTTGAGGGCCTCTTCTGCACCCCAAGGGAGGGACTTTTCCCCAGCCCTATCCTAGAAGCCATCCCTGCTAGTCGGACACCTGGCCTGCGTCACTTAGGGGAGGGAGCAGAGACCCCGTGTATGAAGGCTTCACAGGGGGCATGGCTGAGCCGGACGCTCAGAACTGGGTCAGGAGCGTTTTTCAGAACCCAGCGGTGGGATGTCCAGAACTGGGTTCCAAATCCATGCTAGAGCAGTCCCACCCCAAGAGCACAAGGATATAGGGGGGCCGGGCCAGAGGCGGGAGGAAGTCTCTGGGACCCAAGTGTGCCCTGTAAGGTAACAGCAGGTGCTCACGAGACACTGATGCAAGCACTGGCCATTTCTGGGGATGCTGCCAGGGTCCTGGCCCGGTGCTGTGGCCCCATCCCATGACCCCTGCCCAGGGGAAGAGTTGGGAATGGAGGGTGGGTGAACAGAGCTGCAGACGCAGGGGTGGGAGGACCGGGCACTGAAGCTTCTGGGAGAACAGAGCCCCAGTGAGCCAACTTCACATCTCCGGGCAATGAATAGAATCAAAGAATCAGGGGCCGTGTTATTGTCTGCTTTAAGGACTGCATCTGTTGCCCTCTCCAAATCCCGGCTCAGGCTCACCGGAGGGGCAGCCTGGCCTCATGCAGGCCCCTATCCCCAGGCCTCGGCCTTCCTCCCTCCACCAGGGACCTCAGGCCTCCATGTGCCCCTAGCAGGCTGGCAGATGCACCACCTACAGGCAGGTAATTAGCAAGGGAGCCCTCACAACTTCCCAGCATGGGTCCCGGGAAGGAGGTGGCCTATGCGAAGGGTCCCTTGGCAGCTCATTACAGCGCGGGATCGATTCTTCCATCATTATCAGAAGGCAGCCCTGCCGCGCGGAGCGCTGTCCCTTGATGTCTATCCACCGGGGCCTGCTCTCCGCTGCGGCACCCGCGCGCCGCCAGGCTAACAGCCTTCCTCGGGCCTTTTGAACGCTCCGAAGTTTTCAGAGAAGTGAGCTGGATAGTACCTGCTCCATTTCATCCCTCAAGAAAGAGCAGCCCCATCCGCACCCCGCAACCGGAAAAGGCACACAGAAACAAGCCGGGCCTGCGAGGCCTGTTGTCCCCACATCAAAGGCGCTTCTGAAACACAGCCATCCACGCCAGGAAACTTTCCCTGGGCCGACTCCCAGGCAAACTTAGGGATGTGGGTCAGCTGTGTTGTCTATCTCCCCTGTAAAGAGGGGAGGGGGGTTGGGGCGTGCCAGGCAGGGAGAAGACTCCATTCTGGAAATGTCCACAGCCAGCGAGCACCGACCTTCTCCTCTTCAGCGGCCTGAACTCAGAGTCTGGACAATGCGAGCCCCCACTTAAATGCTCCCTGATTCCTCAGGCACCCTCATCTTAGGGAAAACCCCTGCCACCTTCCCACCCCACCTCTCAGCCCCTCTCCCCAACCCCGCCTCTGCCCCTCCCTCCACCTCATCTCCCTGCGCCCCTCTCCCCATCCCTCCTCTCCTTGTCCCTCCCCTCCCTATCTGGAAGGTAGGAGTAGAGGGATAGACTGACAGGCAGGTAGGCAGATAGATTAGATAGATAGATAGATAGATAGATAGATAGATAGATAGATAGATAGATAGATAGATAGATAGATAG